AGGATGGTGTAGTGACAAGTGGCGCGTTTACCACTCGCGCGGTCCTGGTTTCAATTCCGGGTCGGCTCCCGCTCAGGCCAACCAAGCCTTCTACATTTCGTGTGGGAGGATAAGAGCCTTGACTTGTACATCAGCTGGCCCCCGCAAGTCATTGTAGGCCACATCGCATTCAATAAGCCACTACGATTCTGAATGGAAGTAGAATGCGTGCCGCATCCCACAAAGGGATTGATCAACGGCGAAGACTTTATCCTTTTTTTATGCGTTTTTTCGAGGATAAATGTAGTTAAGAGTTTGAAGGCAGTTGGCACGATAAATCCCCCAAGACGAGCAGGATTAATACGCCTGGCAGGACGGAATTCCGCGACCCTGAGCAGGCGCTGCATAATGCCTTTTCCAAGGAAGGTGCCCTTATAAGGGCCCTATCAAGCCACAACATACCGCCCACCACGCCCGCCCGCCCACAAATGGACGACCGTTCCTGACGCTCGTATTCATTCATTTGCTAAGCAAATTATGAAGCGAAGGGATTGGTATGAAGCGGCCGTGATGCTGCATGCATATATGGGTACATATGCAGCCGTATCTTCGGTAGCGGTGATTGGCAAGATGCCTACGGGAAACTCGTCCAAAATTGATTTTCCAAGGTGCCTATGGGAAACTCGTCCAAAATCGATTTTCAAGTCACTGAGAACGGAGGCTTTTTCTTCGCAAGATTGACCGTTTCACTCCGTTCTTTCGCCATTTCCCCACTATATAGCGCCCTACTAGCATTTTAGGCCGAGCACCAAACAGGGTACAGCATCGTGATGTGTGAAATGGTGACGTCAGTGCGACCCCCCCCCTCGAGGGATGTCTTGATAACACCTCCCCCTCCCCTTCCCCAGTTAGCCATATATCATTTTCCACAATTTATCAGTTTTTCACCCAAGGATTTTTCGTCGAGCGGGGGTAAATAGTACACACAGTACACATGGACAGGAAAAATCAAGGCGAGACATTCAACTGCTAGAATTTTTTCAACTTGTCTCTCAACAGCACATACAATCCTCTCCCGACAGAAGACCATTACGAACTGCCCCTCTTACAGGGCAGCCACTACGACACGCCCCCCCCCATGTGTTTCTACCAGCGACACTAGCCTGGGTGGACTAAATCTCGTGGACAAATGCTTAGAGAAGATCCGGCGATAGAAAGTCTCATAGCGATAGCTGCTTTCACTTCACGAAAGAGCAAAGCTGATTAAGTAATAGTGCCAAAGAAGAAAACAGGCAGAGGCGTCATCAAACAACATAAACAAAATGGCTCCCTCACAGTCACACTCCCTTGCATCTCTGATGCCGATGGTGCTACCCTAGGCTCACAAGTATCTCTATCGAAATCTCGCAGTAGTTGATATCATCCAGTGCAAAAGAAAGAATCACAAAAAGAAAACAACAAAAAGGCAGAGGAAAACTCTGGGAAGGAAAAAGGAATTTTATCAACACGGTGTCTGAATTTGTGATTACGGTAGCGCGCCTTTTGTGCGTCGTGGTTTTGCATCACGAAAATTGCGTCACTCGTGGAGTGTTTTACGGGCGTTTCACAGTCGCGAAATGGGTTGAAAATTTGTAATGCATATACATCCATGAGTAAATGTAAAGGGCAGCCAGATAATTAAATCCATCCGGGCATTAGAGCAATGCCCTCCGCCCCAACTAAGAACAAGTGAGTGGCCTCCGTCGGAGGACATCTAGCAAGTAAAGGCGGTCCGACTGAGGAGGAGTTAGAACTAGCACTTTGAGCGGCTATAGCAGCCTCCACGCTCACAATAGAGTCGCGAAAGGTGAACAGTCTTCTAGCTTGGAGGCTAGACTACTTGCACAGCAAAGGCGACCACGAGCCACTTTGATCGCGGGGGCTGTCTTTAAATCCTGATTTCATAGTAATGACGGCAGCCAGACCAAATTGATAAAAAAAGGATTACACTAGGGGGAGGAGGGTTCTTGATTGAGACGAGGGGGACCGTTCGCGTTCCTGATCGGATTTCGCAAGAAGTAGCCTCCCTTACCCCATACCCATTGAGGGGGTTAGATGGCCTTCAGCCTAGGCCATACAGATCTTGAACACCTCTGAACTCAGTTCAATAGTACCAGAATTTCTTGAAACTATGAAAAAGAACGACTTGTTCATGAGTTGTCCACTGATATTCTTGTCGAGGCCATACCCTATTCTAAAATTACTACAATCTGAATGAAAGTTTCCTAAAGTCCAAAGTGAGTGAAAGTTTCTGCGCATTCCAAAAGGGCACTGACTAACGTTGAATGCTTTTTGTCTCTTCAGGTGAGCTGCCACCTCATATTTTTTGCCATCGCCGACAATGTCTACGCAAATATGCGAAAGCATGCCAAGAATCAAAGCGTCATTATCAGGTAACATTTCAGATACTTATATTGCTTCCATTGACCCTGAGCACCAAGGCCGTAGACAGGAAGACGACCTGACGGTAAAGGCTTCCAGAACTGCTCTATTCAGCAAGTTCTAGATGCGTTTCCCATCGGGTGGTCTTCTTAGAATTAGAGAAACCTTACGCCTTATGGCCACCCACACAAATACGTCGCCTTTTCAGTGGCGAATCTGGATCGGGCAAAACAGAATCGACGAAGCTCGTGCTGCAGTTTCTGGCTACCATCAGCGGTCAGCACAGCTGGATAGAGCAGCAAGTTCTGGAGGCTAATCCCATCCTAGAAGGTATGCTTTTTTATGCGTTTCGGCCCATAATTTATTATATCCAATATGTAGAACCCACAAAATCGCTTTGTCTTTTTCGGTCATTGGGACCTTTGGCTTTATCCCACTATTTCATCATTATTTCTTGAATGACTGTTGGTGCCTCTTTGCCACTTCATTCGGATTTTTCTAATGCTAGCGTTAGAAAGCGCAACCACGTCTGCCGTGAAAACGGAGCAATCCTTCCCTTGTCCCTATCTCATGAATGGACCTCTTCTAGAATGCACTAAGACCGAAGACGAGTAAGTGCCGAGTGGCTGGTGAGGAAGCCTACGCCCACTTATACCAATATGAAAACCGTGAGATATGCCTTGAGCAAATCCTTAGAACAGCATGTCCTGCTGGAGGGTGAGTACGGTACCGCGAGCAGTATGTGGTCCCAACTCCAAAAAATGCGGTCTGCAGTTTTTCTTACTACCAGTGCTATTTAGAAAGGCTTGTCTCCATGTAAGAACTCATAACGATTTCTTTGGAAACGGCATGTGATTAGGGTGTGGTGGTTTGAAAGAACAACTTTAGTACGGTAGCAGATCGGAGTGGTTCCGTCAGAAGACCAGAAAAGACGTATTAGGCCGACTGAACAAGGCAGTCTAGGAGAAACCTGATTTCTTACTGCGAAACTCTCTAATGAGCTTAGAGAGTTTCGCAGTAAAAAAAAGTCCAAAGGAGCAAGCTAGATTTGTGAGTGTATGTACTGTGGGTCAGATGTTCCGATTTGGGACCATACGGTTCCGCTTTTCGACTTAGGAGGGGTACCTCGCACTTTCCCTAACTATTCTTGCCAGTTCCTGTTAAAGTACACGTCTCACCTTGGTAATACCTGTACAGTGTTGTCAAGTGCAAACAAAGCTCCTTCCATTGCGATTAACAGGAACTTCCAGGTCCTCTCACAAGAGGCATCGGCGGTTATTGTTGGAAAAGCAAAATGCCCCCACCAAAATGCACCCCACAGCGCCTTATGTGGCACTTGCGGTTCCAGGGCCCAGTTGACTCGGTGCGAAAATGCTACAGCAAAAGCCGTTAAAACTTGGAAGTGCCAACAAGCGTTGCTTTGCTACTATTAGTTGGGAGCCTTCTACCACCACCGACCCTACGGCGGAAACTTGCGCAAACAATGAACAGAACTCGATGAGGCATTCTCGAAGGACGAGCCTCACATTGCTTCTGATGATGAAAAAAATTAAAAAATTTCCCTATACTGAAAATGTTTTTCAGCATTTGGCAATGCAAAAACTGTCCGAAACGACAACTCGTCCCGTTTTGGAAAATACATCGATGTGCATTTCAACGCCTTCGGCTCTATAGAAGGTATCTTTGAATGATTCCAGGCTCTTTTCGTCCCGTCCCTTATGATGCACCTTCCACTTTCAGGGGCACGAATTGACAAATATCTTCTGGAAAAGTCTCGAATCGTCGCGCAGTCGGTTGGCGAGCGGAATTATCACATATTCTATTGCCTTCTAGCTGGTTTGCCTGTGGAAGAGAAACGGCAGCTTGAGCTGACTCAGCCATCCGACTACTTCTACCTAACGCAGGTAACATTTGAACTCCAAGCGCAATTAGGCGACGAGGGGGGGGCAGGTTGACGTTTTGCACTTTTGCTGTTTCACTAGTTAATTTAGGGAAGTAGAAAAGTGCAAGTTCCCCCTCCCCCGTCGCGTCGTCGAACTGCGCCTAAACTCCTATTAATTAATCATTAATTGTTTTCTGACCTCATAATACAACCAGTACTGTTTTGAGGGTAAAACATTGGAAGCTGATGGCCGCGACGATGCCGCTGATCTTGCGGAAATCCGGTCGGCGATGAAAGTTCTGCTGTTCAAAGAGGCCGAAATCAGCTCGATCTTCCAACTTCTCGCTACTCTTCTGCATATTGGAAATGTCAAGTATAGAGGTCTGAAAGACGCATCCTTAAGTAAACTCTTGGAGGGTTCTGAATGACCGATTTCAGGAATCGTTGTCGACACCATCGATGGGGTTGAGGTTAGCGATGCTGCTAACGTTGCTCGGATAGCAAGGCTGCTACAGGTCGGCATTTATCAATCAATTCAGCTTCCCACAAAGAAGAAAAAAAGCTGCAATCAACTGTTTCAGGTAAAAGAGCAAACCCTCCTGAGCACTTTGACGACGAGAACGATTGTGACGAAGGAGGAGAGGGTAGTGGTGAGACTCTCATCCCGAGGAGCCGTCGATACACGAGATGCGTTAGCCAAAGGCATCTACGGACGTCTCTTCACCTACATCGTCGCACGCATCAACGACGCTATTTACAAGTAAGTGCGCAACTTCTTGTAAGTAGACGATCCTGTTAGTCGACAGATCGATCTACAATAAAATCAGCGCTGCTCCGCTGCAGAGTGGAGAAAAGGCGTATTTTGACTCCGCTGGTTTCTTTTACTGCTTCCCGTCTAACTGCACGTCCTACCATGATGAGCCCTGAAGACACTTGTCAAGTGTAATTGAAGCTCCTGCTACTCATAGCTTCACAGGGATTCACAGTCGTCGACGTTGATCCACGGTAACCAGCAAATTGCCCCCAACAGGCCGAACCGCGCCCAAAACCATTCGAATTCCAATTTTTGGAAGGTTAGATCTCGATAGGCTAGTGAGGTGTGACCTCGTCCTGTCCGATGGGGCAGCGGACGGGACCGAGGTCGCACCTATCTTTTGCTCGTCTGCGAGCTCTCAGGTTAGCAATGGAGCATCTGTTGGTTGGAAGAGTAACGTTGCGACACTGGGGTTGCAAGTGGCCTCACGTGCGCGGCCCAGGATCTAAATGATTTGAGATGGAAGTGCTACAGTATGTTGTCCCATCTGATTAGGAAATACAAGCTAGCTTCTGTGCGTTGCCGTCGCGTGCACACCTCATAAGGCTGGGGAGCAAGGTGACTAAAATGAACTATATCGCGTCTGGAGGGTACAAACAATTCCCGCCGCCAAGAACCAGCATACCCATGTCTCCATAGGAAGTGGGTATTCCTGTCCAAGGAAGTTTCAAAAAATCTTCCACCCATTTTTCTGACTTTCAGGAAACGTAGTTTCAGACCACGAAACGACTCTACAGATCGGCACTCGATTGGAGTACTCGACATTTTCGGCTTTGAGAACTTCGAGACGAACAGTTTTGAGCAATTATGCATCAACTACGCCAACGAAAGTCTTCAGCAGTTTTTCGTGCAGCACATTTTCAAGATGGAGCAAGCGGAGTATGATCTTG